TGGGGAATGACTGCAAAGAGGCATGAAGGAACTGTCTGCAGTAATGAAAACTGTACATTTAACATTGGTACATTTTATTCTATGTACATTACATCTAAACAAAAAACAATTTTTTTAAAAAAACTGATTTTAGATTCATTGTACGGAGGGCCTGGATTCCACCCTACCTAACTTACTACCTCTGCTTTCCTTAGGAACACATTTATGCTTCCACCTCACATATGAACAGTGATAATATCAAGTCCACATGTTGAAGTGAAAGTAGGTATTAAAGGAGTTTAACTAAAAAGTAACAAGCAAATATTGCTAACATCCAAAAGTCCCTTTACAGCATAGTTTTGACATGCTACCTTTTACTTCTGTTTTATTTTAAGTTGTTTCTTTCCTGAACAACCTGGAGAAACTGAAAAAAATTAAAACATTATGACTTTGACTTTGAGATGTTTCTTATAAAAGAAAAAAAAACATTTTAAATCAAAGCAGAGCAATACAAAGCAAGGAAAAGAAAATGAGTTCTCAAAGACAAAATAATATAACTAAAAATGATTAATTTCTAAAACAATGAGTCTAGAGTCTCTTCTGTGGCTTAACTAGAAAATACATACTTTGAGTAGGATTTCTGTACCACTTACATTACTAGTTTATTTCCCACATTCCAAAAAGGTCAGAAAATTATGAAGTATTTAATATAAAAATGGCAGATGTATACAAATACTTTTATCTTAGGAAGAAAAAACACTACAATTTCTTTTACAGGCATTCAAACAACACATTTGCAACACATACTCTTACAAACCTGAAAGTCATTACTATTTTTGACAAAATATTTGGCAGAGAACCATAATAAATGCTCCAATTCTGATATTTCATCTGGAAATAGCCATTTGAATTTAAAGTTCCCCAAACCACAGGGACACATGGCAATAATATAGGATTTTGGACTGCTGTTTTTAAATACAACTTTGGCTGCTTTTGGCTAACTTATTTTACCTCATTTTTATATATCTGAGAAATGCAAGTTAAATAAATGTAGGGAGGCTGTTTGAACTTAGAATGCATTTTCCACTGAAAAAAAGTTACAACATATAGTAAGATACAGATTAGCCTATACCTTATTATCCGTTCTAATATTTTTAAAATTATGACTGAAACATGTATTTGTAATAAAAATACTAGGGGAATACTCTTGTAACAATAAAAGCAAACCCTTCTGAATAACATTTCAATTTTTCCTGAATGTTAACATGCAGAGACTGCTAGTGGTCCCTCAATACCCCCCTTCCACTTTTTACACAGTAATGGAAATTCCCAGGCATAGTGCTTAGCTGAGATTCCCTTGCAGCTAGGCGAAGCCATGTGACTCA